TTCCGATCACTCAACGCAGAAAACAGAAATAGAGACTACGTGCAGAAAAGCGATTTCAATCGAGTGCATATGTACAAAGCTGCCGTATTTACACAAAACATGTTTTAATGCCTATTCCTAAGCACCAGACGCTCATGGGCATCTATAGCTAAGTTGGGGGAAAAACTGGACAATGGTGGCTACAAATGTCCGAGTCTACAGCACTCGCAAAAAAGAGCCTTTGAAGCATACTGCTTTCTGTGATCAGGGGAGAAGCCAATCACAATGCGTCATTCAAGGTCTTAACCAATAAGGCAGCTCAGGTTTTAGAGTTGCCAGCTGCGCATTCAGGTTGTACATCTTCTCCGAGTTAACGTGCGTAAGTCATTCTGAAGCACGTACCATCCGATTGATCAAGAATTGTTTCATAACGCCTCTTGACTGGCGCTTTTTGTGTGTTACGAGGCAGCATGCTTGAACTAATTTTTTTAAAGAGTGGGATGCTTGTTTTGCCTTAACTTGTCTTGTCAAGGAAGCAGCAGACTGAGAGGCTCACCTACACAATGCCAAACATATCACGTCCCAAGCACCGGCACCTTGTTTTTGTCGACTATCATCGAAGCCGACATATATTTTGCGGGACGCTTAACAATCGCTGCAGCCAATTCTTGCTGAGCGAAATTGAACTTTGATGCTTTTCAGCCAGGGCGTTATAAAACAAAGGCTCCTTTCATTGACGAAATGTGCGTTTGATATCACGAGCTATTGTTTGGCAGATATTTGTCAATTTATATGCTTTGCTCGCGTTTCTTCGTTTAGAAAAAGAAAAGAAAAAAATACAACAACAACCAACACCGTAACGCAACATTTTCTGATGTCTCTTAGAAGGAAGCACTTCACCAGTGGTCGCAACGAGACATTGATGTCCCTGCAGTTTCGCTTTTACACCAGTCTGGAGATAACTCTATACAAAAATAGCTTACAAAAGCGAGCCCACCTTCTTTCTCACACTTAATCCACGGTTGGCCAAAGCGTTGTGCTTAGTCGGAACAAGTGTATTCTAATTAGTTTTAGACATTAGCTACAGATATATGCTGGCACGAGGTAAAGCATGACGGAGGTCTATGGCGATTCAAGCTGAGATTTGAAGGATACGCGTCACTCAATGCAGAAGAAATAAATCTCTAAAGAGTTGCCAAAATGATATAATTACAGGGTTATTAAAAGACAGCCAAAATGCCTGTTTTCCCATAAAGGGTTGAAGTCGACTGTCCTGGTCAGAAGGGGCCTGTTAGTCGGTCCAGGTCAAAGTCGTTTACTTGTAATGCATAATTTAGGCTTTCGTGAGATATTGCACATATTGCACAGTAATAAGCTTTGTTACGACAAACTAGATCTCCAGCTCTCCCATATTATGAATTTCGTCGCGTGCAAAGCGCCTGGCTAGATGTCCCGTATTGATCAGGACACACGCTGGAGATTATAAAGCCCTTGGCACAGAACCTCACGACAACGTTTTTCAGGAAGACCGCTGCCACATTAAAAATTTCATGACTAATTACATAAACGATGTAACCACCTTAATACTTACTCAAATGTGGTAGATGCTGTGTGCTACCTTATCTAAAAACGTTCCACTTTTTTTTTCTTTTTTTTTGTTTTAGCGTGAATGCTGCAAAACTGTTGTGAAGTCGTTTTTTCGCTGGCATGTCCTCAAGGACACTTATCTTAAAGTCTACCCGGAGCCACATTTTTAATCTGTAATGGGAGGCGTACATTAGTGCGAACAAATGACTGATGTGGAACTATACTCATCAAAAATGCCAAATAAAAAATTCGAGGTGCAATAAAACACAAACAAAAATGAGAGCAATTGCCTTCAGGCATTGAAGAGGTTGGCGCACCCACCAGACACGGCGAAAGATTTAATCGTGTTGAAATTTACCAGAGCCTGTGGTAAAAGATGGGAAACTCAGTAGAAGAAAAAGAAAAACAAGAGGAACGATTTGTTTCTAGCTTTTTAGCAGTTTTCTCGCCTGCAACGATAGTTGGGCCGCGAATACTCCGAGCACGCTCAAAATAAATGATGAAAACTGGTTAAAGAAATTTGCAGCCCATGTTATGAAGTAAAATATGATCGCTGACGGGTTGAAAATCATTAATGCTCACTTCTTGATTACCTTACGGTAGCGCCGCTGTAGCAGATTTGTTTGGTGCTGCCATACTCTGGGCAACGAAACTTGCGTAATGTTCGGTATTGGAGAAATTTCGGGCTCCGGTTCAAGTTTCTCTGGCCAGGAATGAAGCCGGTTGGTCTCATGCAATTCACTCAGTGTCGCGATGTCTTGAAATACTGTACGAGCGGGAATACATCCTATTCCTCGATAATACCATGGCCTCGGCGCTGACAGGTTTGGCGCAGTTTGAATGGCTTGATGACTAGCAACTTTGGGTTTTTCCGCATTGAATTCATATACTTCAGAAAAAGGTGATTCGTATTTTGTGTAATGAAGCACATGACAGCCACACGGCACCGTTATTCAAATAAATTAGGAATCGTTCCAATCACGAACCATTATGGGTATAAACTTGACCTAGCATATAAAGCAGCGCTAAACCACCCAGGAAATAGTCTTCTTTCTCTTTCTTCCCTTCACTCACAAAACACCTCGTATGCCACCCGCCATGCCGACGCCTAAACGGTCTCGCGCTCGAGAACAAACTACGGAAGTCAGATGGTTAGACACCAGCTACCCAAGATTTTAAACTATTTTTTATCGTAAATTATTACGATTGAAAACTTTTCCAACAAGCGCATACTATTATTACTAGTTTCGTCAGAAACATGGTTGTGTACTCTTGAGAGCGGTTTTGTGTTAAGAGCCTCTTCTGCTGTTGCTATTGGAGGAGGAGAGGGCACTGTCAAGCAGTTTTGTACTGCTTTTTTCTCTCTTCCCTCTCTTCTTGTATGAAGAGGAATAAAGAAACTTGAACTGGGGTGGTGGAAGGCGCCACCTATTGCCACGGAAGTCGCGGTTATCAGGCATTGGCCGCCGGTGGCGAAGGGCGCGCCGAAAGGCCGTGCGATCGATACAAGTGTTTGCTCAATATATGTCGTAACTTCTGTCCTTAACGTTTTTAGAGCAAAAATAAGTTTTCTTCCGGCGTGACGAGACGTACAAACCGCCAGGGGAGAAATTAGCGCAGTAGGCGCGCCATCTAATGCAGACTAGTGGAGTAGGATGTATTTTCTTTAGTAATGTATTTGATGTCACGCTCAAACACATGGAAGTCAATTGCAGACGAGCGACACGGAAGTGAGGTGCAACAGCGACAACCGTAAGTCAAGTGCATTTTCCGGTTCTTAAGATGTATATGAGGAGTGCAAGTTCGTCCGCTTCTTTTGTGGGGGTTGCGGTGACGTCAGAACGCCGAGCTCTGATTAGTTCTAATTGAAAGATAGTGGGTTGACCCCCAAAGCAAGCTGCCTTGAGGTCTACCCGCTATTTATCCGTCAACCAGAGCCAATCAGAGCTTGGCGTTCTGATGTCACCACAACCCTGCAAAAGAAGCAGACGAACTTGCACTCCGCATAGTTGGTGACAGGTTAAGAGTTCAAGGGAAGCTTCTCCCACCTCACTTTAGGAGGGCGAACGCAGGAGAGGAGGCGATTCCTTCTACAGCGTTCCCTCTGATAAATTAGAAAGAGGTTGAGGGAGCTTTCAATGAACGTACTTCCGCAAGTGCCATGTAAATGCTCAGATACAATCTGCGGGTCATCATTATACTTCGGGGAAAGCGTGTACATCTCACGACGATAGATAAGCACCTGGAGCGTGTTGGACCCAGATAAGAACGCAGCAGACTAAAGGCTCGTTCACGCAATTGTGTTGACCAGAGCCCTTCAGATCCTGAGGTGAGAAGTCCCATGATCTTTTGAATGGTCTACTGGATTCCCGTTGAATGATTTGATTTAGAAGTACACCAACTGACAGCTTTAGAGTCGCAACAGACGTTTTGCTTAGTCACTTAGGATCGTCTAGGCTAATGCTATTAAAAAAACGTAGTTCTGTGGAGGTTACTACTACCAAATTCGATAACAGTCCTGCTTTTTTGGGCAATGAAAGAATTTGAGATAGTTTGAGCAGGCAGTGACTTACTGACTCGCCAGTGAAATAGCTGTCCGGCGGTTGTTAGAGCATATAATTATGAATGAACTTGTAACAAAAACAATTAAAACTGAGACTAAGAACGTTAATATTCACTTTCACTATAATTGGCGTTTAGGCAGCTTAGAAGTATTCTAAGTTCTAGTAATATTGGTGTTAGTGAAACGAATGGCGGGTGTTTAACGAATAAAGGATCGATTATCGAAGTATTTTTGGCAAGAGCTTGTTCATGCAAAAATTAAGACTTATTTTCGCCTGAATTCCAACTGGTAGTCCCGTAAACGATATATTTAATTAAATAGCAACACGTTCTGGTCAAGACAATTTAGAGTGATTTATATTATGAGACCTATCGGGTCTAACGTTCTCTATTCAGAAAAATATTTTGATGGTCTAATATATTGTTTTGTCCGTGATGGGGTCCCATGAAGTGTAAATAATAATTTTAATGTAATCATCCTCAAACCTGTTTCAAAGTTGGCCGTCTTAGAACTATCTAGAACATAATCTTTTGGCCCAAAGACAGTCAAGGAATCGAGCAGCCGGTGCTCTGAGTGCGCAATAGACTACAATCACTCATTGGACTACCGGCCCGAATTATATACAAATGCTGTCTCGACATACACTATATGACGCATATACACGAACCATTTTCTACGTCTGCTTTCAGCCCTTCGTGGCAATAACTAAGATCTCGTTCATCTCAACCTTGGTTCTGTATCCAAAGTTGAGATGCGCAAGGCGGGTTAGAGTAGCGAAAAAAGCTATCAATCTCAACACCAAGAAACAATTTGGCGATGCGTGCACGTTGCATCAGTAAGATAGGGGGAAGCGAGACTTGGGGCCTTTTCTTTTTTTTTTCTTCATGACATGAGGATTGTCTTTCGCGCTTGATACGAGAGACGTCTACAATACAAATGTCGCTCGCATAATAATGTTTCCAACTCCTTTTTTCAATGTCGTATTTGATCTCGTTAAAGACGTTTCATCTAGCTTTGGGTTTCTGCGTACGTCGAGGATATGTTAATATATGTGACTGCGAAAACTTCACACGTAGAGAGATCTAGAACGGCGCACCGTACGAGGCCATCTATCACACGGGGATGTAAGGAACAGGTCGATGCTAATGACGCAGGGAGAAAATGTTTCGCTAAAAAAAGGGAAGGCTTTGGTACTGGCAAACGACGTCTGGGTTACTCGCGTGGTCCGAGCTATACAGGCCATTTATTCAGTTGCTTTCCGGAGATGTCCAGCTGGACACGCATTGGCTACGGAATTAAGTTCCTATTAGAGAACCTGACTATCGATTAGTCTTTATTCGCGATGCTTTCTTTTCGAGTGGCTCGAGTTATTTATTTACAGTTGCCATTTGCTGATCTAGAGTCAGGTCAGAGTTTTACCGACCCATAAGAAACGTCGTAAAAGTCTTAATTTTGAATTTGTTGCTCAGTGTTTGTTTTTGCTTTGACAGACACTTATCTATATATATATTTACAGCGCGCACAATATTGAACTAGACAAAACACGATGGGGAATTCATTGCAAGAGACCAGACAAGGTAAAACACTATAGTCGTACTTAATTAATCGAAGCTAACAGTATTTTGGCCTCTGAAAGCCAAACCAACTTGGCCATTCCTTGCTGAATCAGCAAAGCATTCATTCCAGTGCATTCTGAAAAAAATAAACAAAACGGCACGAGGTGTTGGATCACATCAGCTTCTCACTTTCTATAATACAGAGCATTGGCGAGATTGCTATACTGGCGCAAAGCGTTCTCAAAACACGAAGACATGCACCCGGTGAACGGACAAGCCAGACTCACCACCATTCAACGCCGTTTCAAACCGCGCCAAACGTGACCACTTTTCGCCACTGCAGACTGTGTTAGCGTTCAGGCTAGCCTGTAGAAACGAGGGACATTAAAGCTACACGGATCACGGGAAAGGTTACAAGAACCGCTATCGTGGTTTCTCCAGCGTCGACAACTAAGCCCCCGGAACCCAGGTAGCTACCAGACGCCAGATAAGCACCAGTTAAGACCAGTCGGCGGCTACAGATAACGGGGCTTCCCGGGAGGTACTGGATACATCTGAGGGACACCTAAGGGGGCAGCAGCTCGCCGCCGTCGGACTAATCCGAGGCGGGTCCACTAGGGCCGCACGAACACAAACTCGTTGTAATGGTTCCACCTGTTCTCTTCCGAGTCCATGCCGGGCTTGAGCGGTTCCCCGCTGCCGCCGCATGAGGTGCCGGAGCCACAGGCACAGACGCAGCGGAACCTGGACTCCTGGAGGCTGTCGAAGGCCTGCTCGAGCGAATTGTGCTTGAGGAAGAACCGGGACGTGTAACGGTCATCCTGGCCGCGGTCCGGGTCACGCGACTCGTTGAGGCTGTCTCCGAACACCTCTCTGCAGACGGTCACCTTGCCGCAGATGAGGATGCGGGTCAGCTTCCGGAATTTGACGTCGGCCAATCCGTCGCGCCCGAAGGCGAAGGTGCCGCGGTAGCCGAGCGTGATGTAGCCAGGCTGTCCCGGGAACGGGATCAGAGAACTGGCGGACACTTGGAGGTCGGACGTGGCCGAGAGGCAGGCGACCAGGGTGTCCATCTTGAAGTACTCCGCCTCGGCCTTGAGTCTGGCCAGCTCCCGGAACTCTTCGGGAAGGAGGAGGCGCCCCGACCGCAGGAAGTCGAGGATGAAGCGGAACAGGGGTCCGTCCCGGTCTACGAACACGCGGCCCTGGGAGTCCCGGGGTCCAGACTCCGCGAGCTCGGCGAGCACGGGACTGGATTGGGCCGTGTCCAGCGACGTGGCGTACGCACTGCCGCCCACGTTGAGCTCGAGGACGCCGCTGCTCGAGGCCCTGGCCGAAGACATGTCGCTCGCTGATGAGTGCGGCACGGCGGTTCTCCGCGGCTCTGAAGCCGCGCCGGGGGTCCCTCCGCTCACAGTCTCGGTGCACCGCTTGCGCGCTGCGCGCGCAGTTCGCCGATCGATCGGGCGAAGCTGGCTCGCGCCAAAGGGGTTTCCTGCTCCCGACGCGCTCGCGATGCACACCCGTCTTTTTGTTTGTTTTATGGGGCTGCTGGCCGCTTTCATTACCTGCCCGCGAGCTGCCGCTCCGACAGGGCCGACCCACTGTCCGCTCTCCGGGCGGGCTCCGCTGCTGACAGCTGTCTGCTGCCGTGAACTTGGCGAGTAATGGCGCGGTTGTCGAGAACCTTGGGGCGTGCCCTGGGCAGTCCCCGCAGCCCCGCTCCAGACTGGCACATTCGCGGTGGCCACGAGCGATTTACTGTCGCGATGAGCTGACGCTCGCGTTAATCCTTTGAGCCGATGAGAGTCTTTCGCGCTGCGGAGAACGCCTCTTTGTCTATTGGGGCTTTTAGCTCGCGTGACCGAGAAGCGCATTCGTGTGACAAATAAATATTGCGCCTCTCGCAACTTGGAAGCTTAGACTCTGCCCTTCTGTGCACTGGGACTTTGCTGGAGATTAATCTTTTTTTATAAACAATCTTGAAACAAAAGAGGGGCTGGGCTCTTCTAGTAACGTCAGGAAAACGTTACGTTCGTACTAAATATCGTTTTTGCGCACGCACAGGTGAGTGTTGCAGTCTGAAGTCTGGCCAAAAAAACGCATGCCGTATTTTTTGTTCTTTTTTTTAATGCAGGTTCTATTACGCACAAACGGCCTTAAGTTGTTTTTAAGTTTGCTGCGCTTGCACGCTGGACGCCCACGAAACGCCGAATTGTTGTCAAAGGTAGGAAGCCTGGAGGCAGCCGCGAGTCCTTCCTGCCATACTTATTATGGCAGTGGTTATGTAATTTCCAAAGCTTGAAATTTGAGCCGATAGAATGCACCACAAATATTCAGCTTTGATGAGAATTTAGTGTTTCCAGCCACAGCATCCGTCCTATAATTTGGAAATTCAGTCTACCAATAGTATATTAAAAATATAGTTCGAGAATGCAAGAGCATTGCATTGCTCTTGCATTCATGCATTGCTTAGCGGCTGCACTGGGTCCCTGGCAGCGGCGGATATCACATGCGCGGTTACTGTCACTAACAAAACTAGAAAGTATAGTAAATATATACTTAGCATATTAAAAGTGTATTGTCGCGTGCGCGAAAAAATATTAATCGATTTGCTTTTCCTTTATGTAACGGTGTACATTTTATATATCTTAAGTGCAATTTTTTTTTTTTTAAGGAAAGCAGTACATAATTTGATCGTGTCCTGAGAGATAATGAAAGAAATAAGGACGGCGCGAAAGCGCAGTACCTTATTCATAAACAGCGATCATCATATTATAGCAGCAGTGCAGCACACATCGCGTGCTGGGAAGATACCGTAACTTCCCAGCACCCGAAATCGAGTACCGTCAAATGAGGTCACGAAGAAACCGAGACGTGTATATAACAACTACAGCAACGATTCAAAAGTACGGCGGTCTCAGCAAAAGCAGCTCCACGAAGAGTCGTGGAACATGATTCCCAGAGCGGTCGTAATGGACACTATACTTTTCTTTCAGTGGGCTCCGTGTTCGGCCGGCCGTTTGCCACTTACACGCGTAGAACTGGGAAGCGTACACGAAACCGCGCGAAATTTCCATCCGAGGGCGCTTAAGATATTCGGGCACTATATTTGCATACGCAAAATCCCTGAGCGGCCGCTAATCGTACAAGAAAGAAACAAAGCGAAAGTAAAATGTTTTGTGTTGTTTGTTCCGCTTAAATTTGAGGCTGCTCGAATTTCGCGAAATTGAGATCGATTTCAAAGACCTGTGGTGGACTGCGATATCAGGCTTTAGATCGGAACTTTTGTTTCTTCAGAAAAAAAATTTAACACGAGGGGGAGGGTAGGGAATCAAGTAGCACAGTGCGAAGTTGCAGGCGTGGGTGTTGGTTGTTAAAGAGTTGGGTGCACATAAGTACTGAGTGGGGTTCCTACAGCCCATTATCAAATCACGTAGGTTGAGCTTTTAGATTTTTATTTCTCTGGTTGCTTCCTCTTACTCTTTTTTGTCGATAAATCTTTCTTATCGTCGTTTTTCGCGCTATGTGTGGGCAGGCCGCAACATTTTCAGTAATCTAGGGAAACAATAGGTTAAAAAATGGACACCAACCTTTACCTTCAGTCTTAAAACGCAGAATTGAAGTCCTTAATTTTTTTAGTAGACTGTATATACAGTCTTGTATAGTAAACGTGGCATCTATATATATATATATATATATATACATAAAACAACGTAAAGGTCAGGGCACGTCAATTTTTCCGCTAAATTAGGCGAGGCATCTACATTCGTGTATAGTTCACGTGAGGTCAGGTTATGTGGCATCAATTTCCTCGCAAAATTTAGCGGGGAAACTGAATTGGTATATATGTCACGTGGCGGTCATCAATTTCTGCAGAGAATTTAGCGGGGAAATCGCATTGGTGTATAGGTGACGTTACGTCAGATCACGTGACATCAATGTTCCCGCCAAATTCGGCGGGGAGACTGAATCAGAGTATAGGTCATGTGACGTCAATTTTTCCGCTGAATTTAGCGGGGAAACTGAATCTTTGTATAAGGTACGTGAAATGAATTTCCCGATCGAATTTAGCGGGAAATGCACAGACGGACAGATGGAAGGACGGACGGACAGAAGGACGGATAGACGAACAAAACTTTAGCATTGGGGGCGAGCATCAAAAAGCATTTCATGCTTTAAACGTCCAGGGATAGCAAAGAAAGACCAGAGTATTACTCCTCTTCCCGCCCCCAACTCTCTCGATAACCGTGTGCGAAACCGGAACGAAGGAAAGGGAAATCCGTGCTCAACCTTCCTTGTCGCTTCCCTATATTGTTGCGGGGTCTTCTCCGCCGCGGCATGTACTGTGGTCCAGAAAACAGGTTTACGAGGCAGAGATGTTTTACGAGCACCTCCGTCACCTCCTCTATAGCGTAGCTAATAAAATGCGCGTTCAAGGTAATAAAAGGGCACAGTCCTTCGTGCTGCAAACGCACGCCAGACCCGAGTTTGTAAACCTGTACCACCTTTGCCTTCGCCTGACACAAAGGACATACATCCCCAGAAATTTGGGCCATCGTATGCTTGCGCCATCTCTGAGCGGGTTACGGCAGCGCTGCCATAAAATTTCATGCATTGAATATACACGTGTGATCATAACACCGAGACGTTACGATTTGTATAATTTGCCATGGTACTACTACATTCTATCCAATATGTGCCAACTTTTCAAGATGAGGACATGTAAACTGCAGGTTCCTTAATCGAATAAAGTTTTTGATGTACTGCCACTACGGATAGTATCCAAGTTAACCAAAGTGTAAAGTTTATGCTTGGGCATTAAAAGCTCGTTATGAATTGTATAAAATAAATAAAATCCCTCCCAGAAATTATGTAGTGTCTAAGATGTGTATTACATCTGTTGTAAAATATACTTTTCAGACACCTCGCGCAAATGTTCGAAAAACAGCGAAGTTTAAGCGAGAAAAATTTAGAAATACAACGAAGTAAAAGATTTGCCATACGGGTACAGTAAATCAGAAGAAACGATAATATGCTAGGTACATTTCGTTTTCTTCTTGAAATTAGTTTGGTGGGCTCATGAGACCAATTTGCCAAATAAGTTGAAATCGTTCTCCTTTAGACGTTTACGATCATTTCCAGTATTTTGCCACTGATATAAATAAACGAGCACACAAAAACAGCTGTTTTATATTACGATAATCGAAAATTATAGATAAAAATATTTCAAAATAATCTTGCTAATTATTAATGTCATGTGATTATAACAAAGTGATTTTTTATTATAAGGAGTTGAAGCACTGCGGCGAGTACCTAAGTTACGAAGATGACTGTTCTTGTGAACTTAACATTACATGTCGAAAGTAATATTTAGTCACGTGCTAAATGTTTACATTAAATGAATTATCGCAATTGCCATGCACACAAACAGGAAAAAAATATATTCGGGAGAAGAGCGTACTGAAATATATGAGTTTATATCACATTCCTCGAAGAGCTGGGAAGCCCATGCAAGATATTGAAATAGCACCGGCTTGTAGTCGGTGGCCTTAAGTTTTATATTTCGAGGCCAGTTGAGAATTCAATCGATCTGAAAGCGTCCCCGGACAAGGCGCGTGTGCCCAAATTTTAAATGATGAACGAATGCCTAGAAATAGTCGGATCATGTCCATATCGAGATAAGTTTACTCAAAGATGGCTCATCTTAGAGGATTTGCTATATCCACAGTTTATAGGAGAGGGTCCGAAATTTTGTATTTCGTAGCCAGTTAAAATCTCGGTCGACTTAAAAAAAAAAATGCTGATGAGGCGCGGGTGGCAGAATTTTAAATAATGAATGAATACGAAAAAAAAAACAAAAAAACAGCCAAACCCTTCTCATTTTGAGACATGTTTTCTCAGAAAGGATTCATTTTGGAGTATTTGCCATAGTGCAAAGATGGCCTGGAGAGCCTTACATTTGATATTCCACCTTCAGTTGTGAACTGGGGTCGTCCCAAAAAGTTCCCTGGCGAGGCGCCGGTGCAGAACGTTCAAAATATAAACGAATGCGTAAAAACAGCCGCACCATCCCCACTTCAAAACGGTTCTATCAAAAAGCGTTCATTTTGGGATATTTGCCTTAGTATCAGGATGAACTCGAGGACTCAACATTTTATATTCCGGCTTTGGTTGGAAACTGAGTTGTCACCTCAATGTTTCCTGGTGAAACGCCAGTGCCCAAATAAAAAAAAATAATGAACGAATGCGTTAAAACGGCCGAACCATCCCCACATTGATATACAATGGTACTCGGTATGCGTTGATTTTCGATGATTTGGCATGATTTACGCGGATGATAAAATTATCATCCGCGTTTTATCACGACCAACAATGCGCCTGTTGCGCGAATGCTAACACTAGCGCA